TCTCAGTTGCGATAAGCGTTTCACCATGGCGAGCCATCATGCCAACCAGAGGATTCTATACATTTATAAAGACATCATATGAAGGTGGGGGGTATGTGCATTATCAGCACTCAGAAAGAACACGAAGATTACACATAAGCAGCACTGTGGATTTGTTTCTGTCTCCGAGAACCCCTTAGAGGGTGTACTATCACAACCCTCTTCATTAGTGGTCACGCCAACTTGTAGTTTGGGCATCATTAGCAATCTCGGAAATCAGTGGCAAAGAAAGGCCATTCTTCATCTTATGATGTAACTACAACACCTTTCACAATACATCCGTGGGATGAAGACTGCAGGCCTGTAATACTACTAGACAGCTAATTCCTAAGGCAGACAGAGTCTGAAGCACTGCAAATAAGGCAGCTCAGAGATTTCAGCTCCACTGTTCATTTTCAAATTCATTCTTAAACAGCAGGGGGAAAAAATGTAGTGAATGAGCATCTCCTAAACACATTGCAAAACACATGCATCTAAATTCTTCTGAGCTATAGTGCCCTCTGTTGGAACACACAATGACAAAAGAATAGGAATCTGGTCCTGCAACGCAAAAATAAACATTGAGATGCCAGCTCATGAAAATGACACGATACTTGCAAAACATGCATTTCTATCAATAATCTAAAAGATGTTCCTCCACCAACCTGGATACTTTTGACTATTGTTTTAGATCTAAGCCAAATTTCACTTTTTACCTTTTAAGATAAAGTAAAAAGTGGGTTTTCTGTTGACCTTGCTAGGCCACACAAAATTCCAAACAAAATATGCTACTTCTATAAATTTGTGCACAAACAGGCAAAACTGTGACACAGCCATATTTTTGGCAGTACAATGTGACAAGATACTCATTTGGGAAATGTTAGCATGAATGCCTGAGTGGTGAATGTGAACTTGGCCTTCAGTTTTAAAATCATAAGACATGAGGGATACAAAGCACAAGATATTGCTGAAAGATTAGTCTGCCAAGGTATCTTTCTCAAGTCTGATCCACTTATGGCAATGGATATCCTAGCTATCCCCCTGGGAATTCTAATTAGCAGGAGCAGTTTAAGAACCTTTGAAAAAGGCAACTGACATGCTACATAACCAAAGTTTTTTGCAAGCAAATATCCTGACTAAAGCAGCCTGTGTGTAAATGAGACTAGCTTGTTACAAGGCTGAAACTGGTTTTAAAATGCTTTATGATTTGGTACTGTTGCCCCCCCCAACCGCTTACCTTTTCCCAGACCCAAAAACACTACTGGCACAAAACATATGCTAAATAGCAGTAGCAGATAACAGTGGTATATTCCTAACAGCAAAATGAATGAATCATTTTTTAGACAAGCAAACATCTGTAGAGAGGACTACCTGGATATGAAATATTTGCAAAAAGGTGAAAATTCATAATAAGGCATCTGTGATTTTCTTTGGCTGGGATTCACATACTATGAACAACACGGAATACATCCAAACTGTACATATTAGAAGGCTTGATTTTTATCTCAGGCTTCTGCTGACATGTAATAACCACTTGAGCCTTGCTTTCATGGTTTATATTGCTGCAAGAAACCCCTGACAAAATAAAGGTTTCTATTGTACAGTAGGGTACAGTTTATTTTTTCAGTATATCATATACCATATTTTATTTAGATACACAGACCATCTGTACTTGTAGAACAACTTTTAATAACATAATTCTAATATCACAGTAGAGCAGTAATAGTGTAACAAACAATATGTTTTGCTAGCAATGAGCTTTCTAAAGTGACATCTACAAGAATGTGACAAAAGCATAACAATCAGGATTTCCATATTATGATTTATTACTCCCACAATGAAAATTTCAGTTTCTGTTGGTTTGTAATATTTTACTTTTACTGAGCTCCTTTAAAAAACACACAGGCACAATTTTTAGCTTCAACATCCTTTAGCTATGTTTTTTTCTGGATAGCTCTCTGTGTTTCATATAACGTACAGCTTTGCTTCTTATAATCCAGACCATTGTATTACACATGTTTAAATGTGAAAACTAATTAAAGATAATGCTAAATAAAAGACATAAGCACTGCTGATCAGAGAGGAATCGGAAAGAATTGGAACTGGAAAGAAAACAAAGTTGCACTTACCTGTAACTATTGTTCATTGAGTATCTTATGTGCAGGCACCCTCAACATTGCAGGTTCTTACATTTTTCATATCGGGAATGGGTTTTCCAGTACACTCGCCTATCCTTTGGTCTAGCCGCTGCATCCAGGGTATTCTCTAAGTGTTTGACCTCAGTTATTGCTTACCTCCATTTTTTGAGGCTGACATATATTCCCTTACTTAGATGGTTACTGGTGGCAGATTCCAAGGACTGATTGTTGAGTCATTGCACTTTTGTCCTGGAGACCTGTCAAAGACTAGGACTCCTGATGAAACCACGATTAGTTCCATCTCAGATAGTATAATTTATTGGAGCTATGCTAGATTCCCTAGTGGGTAAGGGTTTTCTACCTCCCAAAAGGGTACAGGCTATCTTGGCCTTGGTGAGACAGTTCAGGTCTCACCAGTTCCAATCAGTTCAGAAAATTCTGTGCCTATTGGGATATATGGCTTCTACCACTGCAGTCCTGCCTATGGCTGGGTTACATATGCTACCCCTGCAGCTCTGGTTTCTATCTTGTTATAGAGCTGGGGTTCATGCCTTATGGTACAGATTTTCTATTCCCAGACCTGTCATACCTTCTTTATTGTGGTGGTTGTCTATGGATAATTTATCCTGGGGGATTTCCTTTGGAGTTTCTCAACATAAGGTAGTCCTTACTATGGATGTTTTGCTCTTGTGTGAGGCACCCACTGTGAGGGACTGTCGACTAGGGGTGTTTGGTTAGAAGATGAGAAGCTGCTGCACATTAACATTTTAGAATTACAAGCAGTTTGTTATGCCCTTAGCTGTTTCTCAGATATCCTACAGAACCAATCCATTCTTGTCCAGGCAGACAATACAGTTATGATGTTTTATTTACACAAACAAGGGAGTCCAGAGGTTTATGTCAGGGAGCTTCCCTTGCATGGGACACGGCAGTGAAGCTCAATGCTTCCATTCAAGCTATCCACATCCCTGGGAGTTTAAATACGGAAGCTGAAAGGCTGAGCAGGGTTGGCATACTCTCCCATGAAGAGTATCCATAAGGCCACTTACCTGGAACCACTTTTTACCCTCTTAGGGCTTCCAGACATTGTTTCATGATGTGAGAAAACAAGAAAGCCGTAAGGTTCTGATCCCGAGCAGGAGTAGGAATTGGTTCCCTAGGGGATACATTTCAGTTGCATTGGCAGCGAGCTCTGTTTTACACATTCCCTTCCTGCTCCTTATCAAGGTAACAGAGAATGCCAGGAGGGAGAAATCAAACATGATCCTGGTAGCATCCTTTTGGCCACATCCAATATGGTTTCCAGTCCTTATGGATCCAGTTCCTTCCCCTACCAAACCAACCAGATTTAATCAGCATCAATCAGGTGCTTCATCACGATCTGAACTGCCTCAGCCTGATGGCTTGGAGGCTTCAGAGGCCTAATATTTTCCAAGGAAATTAATGACGTTCTTTGGCAGTCACAGAAGCCTATATGTATAAGTGGGAGCAATTTCCCCTCTGATGTAGTGAAAAGAATGTGTTGCCTGATGGTGCCACTCCGCATGTCATATTTGATTATTTATTACACCTTAAAGCTGAAGGCCTAGTTTTTCTTCTTTGAAGGTTCACCTGGTTGCTTTCTCTTGCTATCACAAGGGAATCGAGAGAGGATCAGTTTTCTCCCATTATTTGTGTAAGAGATTTCTTAACGGGTTAGGTAATCTGTCCATCCAGGGATCCTTTAATCCCCCAATGGTCTCGATCTGTTGTGTTAGCAGTTAATGCTCAAGCCTTTTGAACCCCTTGCTACCTGTTCTTTGGCAGAACTTTCAATTAAGTTGTGTTTCTTAGTAGCTGTTATGTCAGCCAGGACAATGAGTGAACTAGCAGCTCTTCAGATAGATCTCCCGTTTTTGAAGTTCTTTCGCAAAAGGGTAATCCTACACCCTAGTTCTCTTCCTACTGTAGTGTCTAGGTTCCATTTATTCCAAGATATTGTTTTGCCTGTATTTTTCCCTGAACTGAGCTCTGAGAATGATATTTAGGAGGGCATTATTATTTTACCTCACGAGAACCCTGGAGTTTTGTTTTAGTGGTCCTAAGAAAGGTAGAAGAGCATCATCTCAGACCCTGTCCCAATGGATTGTCAGGACCATTAGGGAGTGTTATGATTGCCATGCCCGTTGAAAATTCATGCCCATTCCACTAGAGCAATGGCTTTTTCTGCAGCTTTCCTGGATGGACTGCCTTTGATAGAGATCTGCAGAGCTGCCACCTGGTCACCAGCAGACACGTTTGTACATCACTACATGGTGGATCTGCAAGTGAGACGGGAGGCTCAAGTGGGCAAGGCAGTTCTTCATTTGCTGTTCAAGTGAGTAGCTTGCTAGAATCCCCATGTGGGACTGCACAGAAGATCACTGATGAAAACAAAGCTGCACTTACCTGTACTATTGTTCATCAAGTATCTTCTGCGCAGGCACACATACCCTCCCCTCCTGCCCTGTTGCATGCGCTGGCTTCGGCAGTGCTAGAGGTACTGAGGGTAAGGGGGTGCTGCTGCACAGAAGCATGTACTCCCTGGGTGGAAACAAGCTTATGGCTCTGGCATGCAGTGCCCCCTGGAGACTTTTACCTGTAAAGACCTATCCGATGGCATGCCTGGTCATGTGGGACTGCACAGAAGATCAATGATGAATTATATTTCTGAATTCTGGCAAAATGTATTGTAACTCAGCTGCATAGTTTTATAAAAATATTTATGTTGCCAGTAAACTCCTTTATCAGCATGTATTTTTTCCAGCCGACATCAAGGAAAGCTAATAGAGACAAAATATTTTTATTCATATCTGTTAAGGCATCTACAGTGATCTGAAAAGAAAAGCTGTGAATAGGCAATTTAATAGCTGTTTCCTTTGAATGGGTTTTCAGTGTGTTTCATTAACAATTGTTTACGTAAAACATCATTTCAACAGTTCAAACATCAAAGAAAACAGGAGAATCTTGGGCACCAAGCCTGGCAGAGGTACAAGCTTTTCAATCTGGACAAATACACATCCAGGCAGGAACAGGGGGAGGTGTGTGTGTGTGTGTGCTGAAGCTTATGCATTTAATTTTGCTCTTCGAACACACGCAAAAGGCTTCGGATTCCCGGCTGTCCCCTCTGCCAGCCAGATGCTTCCTTAGAGGGGCAGTTGCATCTAACATTTGCCATGCCCCTCCCACTCCCTTATCCTTGCTTTAATGGACATTAAAAATAGAACAAAACAACGCTGGAGATGGGAACAAAATACATGCACAACAGGCACAGTCCGCTGTACTCATTCTGCTGTAAAATGTAAAAACAAGAAAGGGCATACAAGCTGTATCCCCTAGGACACATTCAGCTTTTTTAATATAGTAGTGCCACCACACATTTCGCTTCGGATGTTGTATTATATTTATATGTCACTCAAATATTTACCATTTTCCTGAATTCTACTGTGTGTTCTGAAAGCTTGTTATAAGCCAAGTATCTTTGGTTATGTGTTTTGGCTGTATAACAGCTGTGCCTGAACTGCATCAATATGCTAACTTTTCCTTCTGAAGCCTCTCATGTGACAAAAGCCACTCTTTCAGATGACTTCCTCCCGTGTAGTTGCCAGTCTGTCCACTGCTGCAAATCACCCTGTGGCAGGGTATTATAATCGGGACCTGCAAAATACACAAAACACACAAAGGAAAATAAGGGTTTGTAGAAATCTTTATCCCCCCCCCCCCAATCCATATTTCTAAATGCCTTATTTGTGGTCAACCCTTATCACTATCTTATTAGCATAAATCTTATCCAGCAGTGCTTCTCAGTGGAGTAAACAGAAAGAACCATCCACAAGTAACATGCAATGCTTATCTGTATGAATGTATATATTCTTTTTCCACTCAGCCAGAAAAAAAAAGAATAGTCAACAGCCTGATCTGGTGACTTTTTGTGCTCAGGGGTCATCAAATGCAACAGATTCCAATCCTTCCTCACTGACTTCAGTGGAAGGGCCAGATATACAAACATGTCCAGTTGAATGGCTGAGGAAGACTGAGCAATTCTTGTTGATATGGAACACATACTTGGGAAAAGATATATAATTCTGGAATTCATGGCCCCCATGACTAGTATAAGTATTTAAACTGTGCACAGCTCTTCATTTATGGAAAGCCATCATATAAAGTAGATTAACAGGGCAGGAGCTATAGCAATTTATTTGGGATAACAGTCCAATGTGGGAGGGAAGGTGGCACAGTATAGCCTGATCTCATCAGATCTCGGAAGCTAAACGGGATCGGTACTTGGATGAGAGACCACCAAGGAAGACTCCACAGAGGAAGGCAATGGCAAACGACCTCTGTGAGCCCCTTGCTGGGGTTGCAATAAGTCAGTTGTGACTTTCTCCTTGGAATTCCATGATGCTGCACTGTTTTGGTCCATTTCTTAGCTCTCTGTTCAGCCCTGTACTGTGCTTGTGATAGATCTTTTTCTTCCAACACATATAAATGGTTGAACAGGGCTCTTCCTTCACCCTATTCCCCCCTCCCCCTGATCATATATGTCTAATGGTTTCTTTGGTATTTTCTCCTGGGATGCCTTACCATCACCATCACAAATTGAACGTGATGCAAAGGAAGCTCCTCACTTTGCTTCTAAACCCCTTCCCTCCTCTCTTTCTAAGTCCTCTAATGTAGATATATGGCACATATTCAGAAGTTCCAAGCAACTTTACTTTCTAAATAGCAACTGTGAAGGGCCCTCATTTGGATCAGGAATTCAATGTGGGAGAAAGGGAAGTAAACATTCTCCCTCCCACCATGTCTCAACCTGACGTGGTCCCATGGAGCTATCTGCCTGGGAAGCACACACAGGGAACCCGTATATTACCCCCAACAGGGCAAGATCCACAGGGCCATTTCTGGTTGAGCAAAATGTCACTGTAGTATAAGGTTAACCCCCCCCCCCTTTCCCCATCACATTCTATGGTCCTGATCTGAATCAGGGCCCCCCACATCTACTATTTAGAAAAGTAAATCTTTGGGGAATGCCAGCTGCAGAATGACTAGCATATGTTGAAGTGGGTAGCCATGTTGGTCTGAAGCAACAGAACAAAATTTGAGTCCAATGGCACCTTTAAGACCAACAAAGTTTTACTCTGGGTATAAGCTTTTGTGTGCATGCACACTTCTTCAGATACATTGAAACAGACTTCCTCAACTCTGTTAGGGAAGTGGGTTAGTTGTCAGCAGGGGTCTTTTCATAGAAAAAGAGCTACAGGGGCTCATTAGCATATGAGATCTTTTTCTTCCAACACATATAAATGGTTGAACAGGGCTCTTCCTTCACCCTATTCCCCCCTCCCCCTGATATGCTAATGAGCATACTAGGCTATTAGCATATGCCACACCCCCTGAAATCACCAGAAGTGATGTCAGAAGGGAAAGAAAAAGCCTCCCCTTCCCTTCCCCAGCTGGCCCCAGCTCACTAGAGTTGGGCCACCAAAAGAGGAAAGATGGAAGGAAAGAGAGAGAGTAGAGAGAAAGAAAGAAGGATGGAAAGAGGGAAAGAAAGAGAAGGAAAGAAGGAAGAAAAGAAGGAAGGAAAG